TTGCGCAATGCGTGAAGTATCCCTGTTAGGTTTGTAGGCGCCAGTGCGTCGCCGCTCCGCTTTGTGTTAGGCTCTAATGCTTAATCTGGCGGAGTCAGCGTTATTCAACTCATGATTTTGAAATGTTTGCACATCCTGTATGGATTATTCTCATTTTAATAATTGATGAAAAAAAAATATGTATTAAAGGAAAATATAACGTGTGTTTTGTAAATATTAAGGTGGTTCCGTATCAAACTTAATGATTTCCAAAGCACAAGAATTTCTACACAATTTCTTATAGCCTTTTATAATCGATGGCGAAAAAGCAACAGCCAGCCAAGTGTAAAGCCCGGCTGCATAATTTTTTATCGCTCCGTATAGCCCGGCCGTATGATTTTCTCCGCATTCTACAGCCAGCTATATGATTTTCTGTAGCCTTCTTTAGCCGGATATAAGAATTCCTATGGTATTTTGAAACGCAACTCTTATCGCAAATCTTTACCAGGGTTTGAATGAATAGAGAGAAACTCCTGCGCACCTAAAAAGAAAACGCGCATTTTAGTTGACGAAAATATAAAAGAACGAAAACTCCGAAATCTTAAACAATTTCATTACAGGATGCTTGCGTTCTCAGTGAATTGAATGAGCGAAAAAGGTGTTCATTTAGAAGTATGCTTTTCCATCTCTTGTAGGCCTGACCCCGTTTCACTTTCCGAAATAGTAGGACTCCTAACGAAGTGCCATTATGAACGCTAACGATCAATAAGTATAACTTATTGACGTGAATCTGTCGTTAACAACAACCCTGTACAACTACACTACATCTCTAGCCTACCTATTCCAGGATTGATTATGACTTCACGATAAGCTAGGCGCCCAATACCACTATTTCGACACGTGGGAGCCAGGTTGCATACTTCCCTAAATGAAGGCAAACGTGAGCGGTAACCATTAAAAATGGATTGCATTTTGTCTCAACGAACAGCAATCACACTAGCAATCTCAGCGGAGATAATCTTCCCCCGTCTTGCCAAACAATTTTTCCATAGCTCCCCCGTTAGCTTCACTCTGGATATGGTTCCATCACATCGTAAAATTGAACCCCAAAAAGAGTAGAGTCCCTTTATACCGAGAGTTAAGACAACACCCCCTCATGGAGTCACAAACGGGAATAAAGATCACACAAATTGAAAGTTTTTCGTAATCTTTGATCTCTATTCCCGTTTGTGACACTTTGGAGACCTAAAATACGGGCACCAATCAGAGATGGATTCACATTGTCTTAACTCTCAGTATAGAGGGATTCTAAAACAGAGCACCGAAACTCAAAGGAACTATTCCACGAAAAGACGATTCTCATTGAACGGACCTGTGTCTAAATATATCATTACTGCCGCTTTAGCGCAGGAAAAAAACACGAGATAATCAAACTAGTGATAAGGAGCCCGCGGCAATCTGGATAATAAGCATACAGCGCTGTATGTCGGTATTGGTATTTAAATTAGAACAAAAAGCGACAGAGTATGATAATGAGTCATTTCGTGTGCAAGATCATGGAGAACGTGTTGGGTGACGTATTGAATCCTTGTTTTGCTTGAGGGAAATGTACCTACACAATCGAGTGGAGCTGGGTAAAAGTTTTAAACTTAAATACTAAAATTGGAGACGCACATTGCACCTATAGCCAAAATTGATTTATTATTCTACGATGAATCTTCAGATTCCTCTTGATTTACATAGGTAGATTTTATTTATCAGTGACCCGAGTTTTTTCTACGAAAAACCTAAAATTTTTCATAACAGTCTGAATGAAGCCAAGAAACGAAGAATAAATGTTCGATTTAAGTATACTCTCAAGGTCAAGTCTGTAGATATTGGCGATCCGACTCAATTCCTACTATCAGTGAAAAAGTATCTTAAAAAAATCGGTATTATCAGTAACTTAAAATGAGCGCGGATTTAAAAAAAAAACTCCTCGCTGGGGGGGGGGGGACATTCACATCACCAAATTTTAGTTTTAACAACTTTCTCATCAGATCGACATTTTCAAGATTCTTTGGCGGTCCCTTCAAATACCCTGACTCTTCCCGATTTTTCAGATGCGTATTAACCCTGTTTATTAGTTTATTTACCTACATTACTTTTTTTTTTTTTTAAATTCGATAAAATATTCAAACTGCCCCATTCTCGGGCAATGACAACGTATGAATGCAATGAGTCGCATTTTGATATCACAAGCGCAAGGTTCCTTCATTTTGTAGCATGACCAATTTGATCTCTGGGGTGTTGAAGAAAGTATTTCTACTCGAGATCGAATTTAGCAACTGTTGGTGAACACATACCGTTTTATTGATTCCGCGTTCTCGCACCGTTCATTCACTTTCTCGAATAATTGGGAAGATGAAGGGGAGAGTAAAGTGGAGAAGAATAGATTTCTGGAGGAAGTTCCAGAAATCTTGCCTCTAGGCAGGA